CAAATAATTAATTTCTCTTCCAAAACATTAATTTTAACATCTAATACCAGAAATACAATCACAAATCTATACAGAAGTTATCAAAAGCATCAAACATATAAAATGAAACGAATTTAAAATTCCTAAGAATTATAGGGACCTTTCCCTCTACTCATTTCCTCTTGTAACTACATATATAAAAATCCCCTTTTCCCCCGTATCTTGTTGCGTTGATTAAAACAATTCTGATGCAATTTGGGATTAACCCTGAGCACTCATCCTCAGAGCTCCCTCTCTTTTCTTCTTTTTCTCTTCTAACCCTTCAGAACTCAAAATGAGGTGGACAGGCTAACTCTGTATGACTTCTTTCTTAAAATAATCCATTAGGCCGAGTCAATCCAACCCACTTTTTTTTTCGACCCGCTTCTCTTTTCTCCAAAATAGTTAAATAAATAAATAAATAAAATAATATTTTTCTATAATAATAACAATAATTATGACCAAATGCCACATAATAATAATGTTTTTGAAAATGGGGTGTTACACATTTACAAAATAAAAATAAAAAATCAAGCTAAAAAATAAGTTAATTATGATTCCTAATTACATATATATTGTGTGAATAATGAGCATTAATAATAAGTCACATGTTATCTATAAAATAAATGAAAGAAATAAATTAGCATACTAATATGAAGTTGATCCATAATGCATTTATGAAGGCCTTGCTTAAGGATTTAAAAAAAAGTCACTGCGACAATTTTGGTCATTTTAGACCAAATCAAGTAGCCTATAGCTAAAAGATATAGAAATAGAGAGAAAGATCAAGTAGTTAGTCATACAAATATGTAGCAAATAATTCACCCCAAAATCTATAATCATCCTCCCCAAATTCATACTTTGTAGAAAAAAGTAGTACAAGATAAAATTAAACCTATAGAAATAATATCCAAATAATCATATAATTAAATAACTTTTAATACCAACATACACTTTTCAAATTTAATTTTAGATGAAATAGTAGTCAAAAAAATCTTGAAAGTTTAATTTAAATATACTCACTACACTAAAAATGTAAATAAATAGCACCAATTAGAAAACGCTTAAATAAATAAACACTTTAAGCAAACACGCATAATATTAAAAAAAGAGTGTTAACTGAAATAAGTACCATAGGAAATTTACTTATAAAGAACTTTTTTTTAGAACAAAAACGACGAGTATAGTCGATTTATTATTTATATTTTTAAAATTAAACAACAAAAGTATCCTAATGTTATTCTAAAGATAGAGAATATTTGGGCTAAATACCTATTTTGGTCCCTTATAATCTTTTTTTGTTTCAATGTAGTTCCTCTTTTATTTTTGGTCTCAATTTGGTCCCAAACTAATTAACTAGTTTCAATTTGGTCCCTAATAAATTAATTAGTTTCAATGTGGGACTTCCGTCCAAATTTCTTTAACGGAGTTAACTATTGACCACGTGGATGCCACCTAGATGCATAGGTGGATGCCACGTGGATGAATTTTTTTTTGAAAACACCTGGAACCAGAACGGCCCGTTCTGAAACCAGAACGGGCCGTTCTGAATGCGCTTTTGGTGTGTTAATTTTGTATCGGAAACGGGCCGTTCCAAATGCAAAATTTACACACCAAGAGTACACCAGAACGGTCTGTTCTGAAACCAGAACGGGCCGTTCTAGTTTAAGAACGAGCTGTTTTGTTTTCAGAACGGTCTGTTCCAAAACTGAGAATAGAATATTATTTATTAATTTTATTAAAAAATGTAATAATTTTGAAAAATATTTTTTTATGGTAAATTTTTTAAAATTACTTATTTTTATAAAATACAATTGCCTTATAAATAGAGTAATAACTTTTTCTTTTTCTCTTTCTATCCGAAGAAATATTTAAGTATCACTTTATAATTTTTTGTAACTTATTTAAAATTAGAGGAATAAAATGATAAAAATTAATAGGATAAACATAATAAAATTATTAATTTATTTTCTTTTAGTGTCCTCTAAATTTTTACATTCATTTAAAATAAAAATATTTTATATGTTAATTTGAATTAATTTAACGAAGTATTATATGATTTTTAATTTTTTAAAATTTTTTATAAATTTGATCTATACATGAAAAACTTTTTAATTTAACAATTAAATTCTTAAAAATTTGATATAGAACATTAATTATTAAATAGAATAAATCTATCAAGACTTACTATTGAAGTAAGTAAATTTTTTCTTCATTAAAAATGAATAATTTTACCACAAAATGAAAAACAATTAAACAATAAAATAAAATATAAAAAAATATTAATATATTTATTATATTAGATATAACAACATAATTAAAATATAATTAATAATGTCATTTCATCATTTACTGTATAGTGTCATTTCATTGACAATATAGTGTCATTTCATCTTTTACTGTATAGTGTCAATTTGGTAGTAAGTGATTCATCCTTTAGTGATACATTGCATTGTCCTTAATAATACATTGTATAGCCTAATTGTTTAGCAATTGAAGTTATCAATTTTCATTGACAATATTACCAAATTTAGTGTTTGAAATGCTTTGTACCTTGGGTCTTTTTCTTTCCATGATTTACAACCGTGAACTATAATCATTGATCGTTTGTGTTTAGCAGTTTGGAACCAGAACGGGCCGTTCTAGTTGCACTTTTAGTGTGTTAATTTTGCACCTGGAACGTGCCGTTTCGGATGCAAAATTAACACATTAAAAGTGCAACTAGAAAGGCCCGTTCTGGTTTCAGAACGGCCCGTTCTGGTTCTAGGTATTTTCAAAAAATTGTCATTCACGTGACATCTACGTGGCATCCACCTATACATCCACGTAACATCCACCCATACAACAGTTAATTCCGTTAAAAAAATTTGGTCGAAAATCCCTAATTGAAACTAATTAATTTATTAGAGAGTAAATTGAAAATCGTCTTCACATCATCCATAGCCAGTAGCGACACCCGCTACATTCGATTCCTCCGAAATTGTTCGTGACTGATTCTGCAAGATTCTTGGGTCTCTCCCACCGTTCGCGCCCAGGTTTTTACGACTTCTTTTACCATTTGTCTTTAGTTTCTCACATTATCTTTGTTTAGGGTTTTTACATTTTTGTGTTTCTATTATGCCTCAGCAATGCACCCGAACCCTGTGAGGGTTACTACTGAAAAGTTTCTATTTTTTTTTTGTTGATCTTGGAACTGTCACTGGTGGTGGGTCCGGGCTGAAAAGTTTCTATTTTACTGCTGAAAAGTTTCTGAAATTTAGTCTATTAAAGACAGAGTGTTTGGAAATCGTTTGTGACTGGGTGGTGAAGAATGTGAATTGATTAGTTTGGAAATAATGTTATTTATGTTTTGTGGGGGTTACTTTCCTTACGTGGTTGTTTGTTAGGTGGGGTCTGGTTTGTCTTCTTGTTGGAATTGTGGGCATATGCTATTATTCAATGGGTGTCTGAGGCCCCTGGAATCTGTGACTACTTTTGCTTCTTTTTGTGCATTTTAAGCCAAATTGCTGATAACAGAGGAAAAGTTGAAAAACCCTTTCGCTCTGATTATTTTCCTCGAAGTCTGGTGCTTTGGCCCGAGGCTTCAAATAGAATGGAAAGGAGGTACCAAGGGGCAGGGATCATAATCATATAATATATGATAATAAACAAAATTAAAACTATACAGAATGTTAGATTTCAGAGGATAGAATATTGGCAAAGGGTCCCACACAAGGTCAAAAAAATGTTAATGTGTTTTGGGATGTAGTGTGCCACAACAAAATCTAAATAGTGGTCTCTTTCTGATAAGGAATGCAATCATAGGATCAATATGACATGATTGTTTAAATAGTGCCTACATTTACTATCGGATAAGGTGCTTACATTTATTGTCTGTGTCTCGAACATGATTGTTTTGAAAGAGTGAAACATGTGAGCAACCAAAAAGACAATGAATGTTTAAATATGCAATGAATGTTTTGTTTCTGAGCTAATATTAAAGCATAGTTCCACCTGCATATGCCCTGGTCCTTCAAGGCCTCCACAACTCCAACACTAGTTGCCACAATCCATGCTCTCCCTGCTGAATTCATTTTGCTCCTTCTATGGTCAAAACTTCTTTCTTATATTTCTTTTAAATGATGGAAAACATGTAGCTACAGTTTATGCTAGTGTAATGTGGTAATCAAGAGAACACTGGCAAATTAGATGTTTGTTTGATGAGGCAAATGCAGAGAAGTGTTACTTATATAGAGAGAAAATGGCTAAGTTAATTTCGGAAAACCACTGGAATGAGAAACCATGATAGAATATTGGCAAAGAGTCCCACACAAGGTCAAAAAATGTTAATGTGTTTTGAAAGAGTGAAACATGTGAGAAACCAAAAAGACAATGAATGTTTTGTATTAGCTAAGGTACCCAAAGAATGACACATGTGACAAGATAAATAGGATACTGCTGCTCTCTTTTTTTAGGTTGTGTGTAATATGTTAATTTTTTTTCTTCTTTTTTACTTGAGAAAGAATTGCCCTACTTTTTTAGGTTTGCTACTTGAATGGAGCATTAAATACTTGTGCTATGTTTAGTAAATACGCCATTTCCTTGGGCACCACTTGTAAGTGTGTAGGGCCACGCTACAACCAACTTATGATGTCTGTTCTGCTGAATCATTTTGGGTCCAATAATAAGCATCACTTGTATGTGTGTATGCACAGTTAGAAAGCAACAAAACAAGTACAAGAATGTTTCTTTCCTTCTAATTATCAGTTATTTGAGCTTGGTGTTAGGTAACTAGGTGTAATTAATTAACAAGTACAAGAATGTTTCTTTCCTTCTAATTCTTCGTGGCATCATCTCCTTTTAGTTTCTTCCTATCAGAATTATAAGTGGCCTGGAATAACACTACTTAAAATAAAATCATGCTTAAACTTACAAATTACAAATATCCAAAAATAAACCAATGTAGGTTCTTAGCTTCAAATATATAGCTAGGGTATATTATGTGTTACTTTGCAAGTGATGTGTTTGTGCCAGTGTCTCTCCATGTGTATGCCCTGTCTTTATCTTTGTATCTGCGTTTGTCTTTACTTGTGTATGTGTAATTTATATCTGTGTTTGGATGTCTCTTTGTTAGTGTCTAGTTTATGTTTTTATCTCTATGTGTATGTATCTCTCTCACGCCCTCTGTGTGGGTGTGTTTGTGACTTTGTTGGTGTGTGTTATGTCTATATTTGGTTGTTTATGTTTGTATGTGCTATGTATCTGTCTTTGTGTATGTGTGCATTGATACATTTAACTTTAAAAATGTATTGATGTTTAGGAAACTTACCATTGCTGTGAGATTACAAGTAAATGAAATTCAGAACCTCTTTTTTCCTTCTCAATTTCATTTAGTATATATGGCCACACGAGCATGAAAAGCTTTCACAAGTTGAGCTGTTGGTTGTTGAAGAAGCTGCTGTTATTCCACTGCTGGTGGTAAGTCTCTGCTTGGCCCATATCTAATCTTCCTGTCTTCTACTATTAATGGGTATGACTATTGTTTTTTCTTATGCCGAAGGGGAGTTATTAATCATTTTTTATTGTTGGCCATTTCCTGCATCTCTTTAACAATGTTTTATATGTCTCTCCATTTAAGAGAACTGAAAAAAACTGTTTTCTTTTAAATCAAAAGGTTTGAAGGTACTGGACGCTCTTTATCGCTAAAGCTTTTGCATCAATTGGAATTGCAAAGCAGTATGTCTTCCAAGAGCACAGAGGGCACTGGTTCTGGTGCTTATTTTTGCTACTAGCTTTAAAACATCACCTTAATAAACAACATGCATGTAATCTACAATTCATAATGGAAATACATTCTAAATGGATTATGAAATTAAGATATTTGGTTTCAAAAAATCCATTAAATTATTGTGATGCACATATTTTTAAAGGGTGCATGAGTTGTTGCAGAAAAAAAAAATATCTCTTAGGTTGTCTATTTAAGAAAATAGAACTGAGTGAACCCATGAGATACAGTTTTGGGGATCCTATTGAAACTTGACTCAACACATTACTTTGCTTAGATGTTTCAAATGCCATCCCTGATCTTAGCAGATTATTTCTAGCTTATTTCATGTTTTGTTGGAAGATGAGAAAGTTTTTTCAATATCCATTTATGGTTCTTTTGTTCTCAAATTAGGTTACCTCCTCATAGTGAGTGTGATCTATACTATGTTAATCGGGACACTCTTTTTTCCTATCACAAAGATTGTGAATTGTTTTTGCAGGTAAGACCAGATTTATCTGATGATGTTGGGTGGTTTGTGATTAATATTTTCACATGTTTAAATGGGGTGCTAAAGTGTTGTCATTCTTGCAGTGAATTATGGCCATATATGTTGTATCGCATTACAAGAATTCTCCAAATGATCTGCAACTGATGGTAGATGCTCCAGCACACCACTTTTTTTTGTATTACTTGGTATACATGATTTTCTTTCTAGTTCTGCTTTGGTCCATCTGTTTTAACCGACATGACTTGCATTGGGCATATAATGATATTTGTGTGACAGGACCTGTTGATGAATTGGAGAATTATCTTCTTGATATTTTGTGTCATCCAGGTATGCATCTTTGACATAAGTAATCTTTTTTTTTTTTTTTCCAGCATTTCTGTATATTGTGTCTGTCTTATTGGCTTCCATTACGGGGCTTGCTTGCCCACTCTGTTCTAACAGAACTAAAGGATTTTTTGGTTCAAGGATTAAGAAAACATTTGTTTTTATCAATAATTACAAGAGTTTCACCTTGTTTTCATAATTTCATTTTATTTTTCTATTTTTCAAAGTTTGTATAGGAAATGGCAAAAGCAATGCTTTCCTCATTTGTATAAATCTTTGAAAACAAGGTGGTGTTTTTGGTAATTATTTAGTGAAAGCAGGAAATGGAAACATGTCCTTGAACTGAACAAGCCATGATATCACCGACAAAAATTATAAGTTAAATTGCTAAGAGAGATCTAGAGTTAAATTGTCTAAAATTGTGTTGTGGCCTTCTACAAAGCAACACACATGTCACATCAAGGAATTTGTAAGAAACAGATTTCTTGATACTGAAACTATCTATAAACTAGGACAATATCTTTTAATGGTTTAAAATAGTTGAAGCTTGCAGTTCCGTTTCCATATAAATTGAGGACTAACTGAATTATTTAAACTTTATGGTGGTTGCATGATTTCGTTTACACAGATGCAACTTCCATTTCTTTCCATAGTGTTTGTCTTAAGTTTGTAATTTCTTGTTATTTATGGTCATGCTACAGATGGTTATGCTTGTTGTCCCATTTTCTGTTTCTTAAGGTTGCTTTTTGTTGTGACCACATATTTCATATCTTTTATTTTCATGTTTGCCTTGAGGGGTCAATATCTCATCATTCAGCAATCCAAAGTTTGAGCAATGGTCATAAACCTTTTGGAGATCAAATACCATGGAAATTCTGTGAGCATTTTCGAGACACAGTTTTTCCCTCACTTTCAGGTGCTCGCATTGTACACATTGCTACACACCCTAGTGCCAGGAGGGTAACTTCTATCTTTTGGTTTATGGTTTTGTTTTACCAGATTCTTCTAGAATTCCAACAGCCCACTTATCTTTTATCTTTCTTTGATTTCAGCTTGGATATGGTTCACAAGCAGTTGAACGTTTAATACGGTGAGTGCATGGCTTTCTTCTTACTTTGATTGGAGAGATGTTCATTTTAGCTTTTGTTTTACACAAATGGGTATTTTGTTAAAATAATTTTTTAAAACATAAATATTGGTTAAAATATTACTTCTATTTTTGTGGGCCTTTTGACTTTATGAATTTTTTCATAAATGGACTTTTTGGGCTGAGGGATTTTTTAAAAGTTCCTATCTATTTGAGTTATCTGTCATCCGTTTCTTATCTCTTCAAAGTTCCACTCAAGAAGTAGAATGCACAAGTACAAGTAGAGCTTCTCCAATGCAAGGGAAATGCCTCTGTCTCCCAGACCCTTATTGTGGTCATTGTCTCCATCCACTGCCGAGGGTGCCAAAGGAAAGTCAACAACTAAATGCTGCACCCTTTCTTGATTGAAATGGAAAAGCTATTCAATGTTTCTAAAATTGAATTTTTTCTATCTCAAAAGTGAAGAAAAGCCTTTCTTGTTGAAATTCTTGAACGTGTATTTTTTTTTTCTTCGGTTGTTTTTTAACCACATTTATAAAATACATTCTTTCTAGCCTCTGGTGTATTTGGTAAATCATATTATCTTTTTAATTAAAATTAAACTTAAATAGAAATGGTATGAGTTACACCACCATTCTGTATTATATTGTATTTACAGAGGTCACAGTTTATGGTGAACAGAAGTGGAGAAAGGAAAAATGGTGAGAAGTAACAGGGATGGGCTCAACTCTCAAGACCTCGGAAGTAATGGATGATGGAGAAGAGGATTTTGTGGTAGAGGGTGGTGACGGAGGACAGTACAAGCATATGAAAGAAAAGAAGATGCTTCTTGATACATATTTAATTAGGTATGTTTCTTGATACAGATTTAATTAGGTATCTATCACAAATTTGCTGGCCAGTTTAGTTTCTTCTTGATGCAGATTGCTGGATTTCTTGCATTTCTTGCAACTCCTCGTTTTCAAGATAATGCTAAGGTTCTTGATACTTTTGTTACAGAACACTGTCTCAGTTTAATTTCTTGATACAGATTGTTGGATTTTCTTGCAACTCCCAAACTCAAGATAAATCTATGGTTCCTGATACTTCTGTTACAAATCTCCGTCTCAGTTTAGTTTCTTCTTGATACAGATTGCAGGATTTATTGCAAGTTTGCAACTCCTCAAGCTCAAGATAATGCTATGTGCAAGGTACTTCTCTAATTGTTTTCTCTGTTTGAAGGCAGCAACTTATTGTTCTTATCATTTTTTAACCTTGAGTGTCCTTAAATCCTCTGGGTTGACATTGCCTATGAAACAAGTCTTGATTGCTCAAACTTGAAAACCATTTTAGTGTGTTGTTCAAGATGTTCTTCAAAACCATTTTTGGGTTAAACTAAACGTAATGTATTATATGATAAGGAACTTCTTTTAGTGTTTACTATTATGTTGTACTCTTGAAATAACGGAGAAACAAATTATAACAGAGCAGCTATTGAATATAAAAAAGAAGGGTATGAAATAGCTCAAGAAAAAAATTCTGGAAATCAATGTTTTGAAACTTTGATTCTTGAATTTGAGGTGAATAATTTCAGAGTAGCAATTGAATATAACAAAGACAGAAACATTATGAGGAGTTTTTGTCCTCAAGGTAAAAAAATTCTGATAAATGTATTGATAATATTATTCTATTAATATCTTTATGTCAAATATTCCTCTAATCTTTTTCCTTTCATTTTTCCCTTTCTAAATGAGTGGGAAGATCATAATGATCTTCAAATTTTTTTGGAAGTAATGATCTTCATAATGATCATAATGCTCTTGACTTTTCTATCAGGCATCCCTTTAGCAAAATCAAGATAGTAATAAATGAAAGATTAAACTTCTATTATCTCCTTAAGTATCTTTATTCATTTTTGTTTTTTGTTGTTGATCATGGTACTCTCCCAAAAGCCACATTGAAATTTCCACCCTTTATAAGTGCATACATCATCACACAACACTACTCGATCTTATTTCCATCTTGATATTCATTTATTCTATTTGTTTATTTTTTGAGAGATATTGTTTTTTTTCTTCTATTTATTTATATTTTTGAAAGGGAGAGGGTTCATCCCCAACAAAACAAAACTAATTTAGCTACACTATCCATATAGTAAATAGTAGTGAAGGGTTGCACATGTTAAACAAAATTTTAGAAGACACTCTTGTTTTAAAGGGTTTATTGCTTCCTTCATTATCAGGTTCTGTGTATCTTGTTGTGGTATTATTCTTTATAGTAGTTAAATAGGTTACTTAAGTTGCATGCTTTCACGTAAAATGCCATTATCAATTTTACTTATATGTTATTAAAATTACTTATATAATAATGATCCTATGTTGTTATATATATATATATATATTGTTTAATGCTAGGTGATAAATTGATGCAATTGATCTCAAGAGCAAGCACAAGCGAAAACTTAGATAGCGAACTTGTTCAACCAAGATGTTTTTTCCCCTAATGTAACGTCCTCTTTTTTTAATTGCATTTCCTATGCTCATTTTAATCTCTAGCTAGTGTCATGGATAGGATTTATGTTGTATTATAAAATAGTTAATACTTTTTATAACACAACATAAATCCTTGATGTTGTGCTCATGCAGTGTTAGAGATCTGTTGAAGTCTTTGAAGATAATCATGAGTGTGAAGCTAAAAGTCATTGCACCATTGCAAACACGGATGATATCTATGAGGTAGTTTCATTTCAAGCTTTTGATTGCAATAAATTTTCTATTTATATTTCCTTTATAACTTTTAGGTTTTTAATCTTTTCATATTATTATTAACTAAACAATAATTACTAAAATTATTTTTATTCAAATAATTATTTTAATTTAAATGTTAGAGGATATATCAAATCAAACTACATCACTAAATAAAAACATCTATCTTCAAACAACATAAAGGGAAATTATGTTTCTAATTATAGAGTGAGATAAATTCTTTGCCAAAAAAAAAGTGAGACAAAGAATAAGTTTATGGTTTTTCTATATTATTGTGCTATTTCCTTTTTTTTTTTTTTTCCTTCCTTTCTCGGCAATAAAGTATAATATGTAGATAGTGTAGATGTGATGATATTGGATGAGCTAGTTAATTGTTTGCTTAAACTTGTTCAATGAGATATAGATTTAAATTTTAAAATTTGAATTTGAATTAAATTGACATTTTTAACCCATTAAGATCATTGTAACCATACTAAATTATTTTTTAAATTGAAACTTATAGAAAAGATCATGCCTTAGTTTCTGTTTTCAAAATAATTGAAAGCTGACAACATATGAAGTTCATTATATTCTTTTAGCATGTATAAGAAACTGACCCAAAATAAATTGTTTTTTCTTTATATATATTAATGTTCCATTTATTTAATTTAATTTATGAACATTTTTAAATATAATAAATAGTTTTTTAAATGTTTGTCTAAAGTGAGTATTTTATAAGTAAGCAACTGTTTATTTTTAAAGAATTAAATAATTATTTCATAATCATTTTTTAATATTTTAAACAACCTGTTCCAATATCAATTTTAGCATTCAAATTTATAGAGAATAATTAAATAAGAGAACTTTTGAATTACTAGGATCTGTATAATGACATAGAATTGAAATAAAATACCCAACATCTTAAATTTAAACTTTAGAATTGTTAATTATAATTTTTACTGGTAAAAAAATTAGAAAGCTTCTGGAAATTTAATTAATATTTTATATAAATTTACAAAAAATTTAATCAAAATATTATATCGTGGGATATTCATACATCATTATTCTTTGTAATACTATTAACCATGGTTGTCAATCTCTAGTGACAACTCGTAAACTCGTATGAGTTTACGAGTTTACAAGAGCTTACCTGTACAACTCGGAGGTAAACTCGTTTTTTAGTGAACTCGGAGCAATCTCGGTAAACTCGGGTAAACTCGTGTAAACTCGCGAGACTACCTTCGATATTAAGAGTTCACCATTTTTTTTTTCACTTACACAAAACGCACTTTTTGTGTTGTGGGTTAGGGCACTTTGTCTCCTTTTCTCCTCTAACCTCCGCAGCGCCTCTTCCACGACTCTTTTCTCTTCTCCACGCCTCACCTCAGCTCCTGACCTCCGTTCCTCACCTCCGCGCCTCAACCACCTCCTCTGCGCGACACCACCTCCGCGCGCGACACCTCCTCTGCGCGACACACCTCCGCGCGCGACACACCTCCACGCGCGACACACCTCCTCTGCGTGCGACACACCTCCTCCGCGCACACCACCTCCGCGCGCAACACCTCCTCCGCGCGACACCACCGCTCCTCACCTCCGTTCCTCCGCGCGCCTCGCCACCGCGAGCGCAACACCTCCTCCGCGCCGCACCACTGCTCCTCACCTCCGTTACTCATGTGATGTCTTAGTTTTTTATTTGTCTATTTTTAAGAACTTGTGTTTTGTCATTTGTGTGAACTTTTGATCTTAAATTTGTGTTAAGAACATTTATTATTAATGTAATTTGCTATTTGGGAGTTAAAATATTCAATTATTATGTTATTTTTATTTATTTATTTATTTATTTATTATTGAGTAATCTCTTACGAGTTTACGATACGAGTTTACGGAGCCTCCACGAGATTACGTAAACTCTCGAGATTGACAACCTTGCTATTAACCAAGTATGTAGTGTTGTTATCGTCATTTTGGTTTATGTTCAATAACTTCTTAAAATACATGTAATAGAAAATATGAATTATGATACAATCCAATTTGTTTATGTTAAAAAGAAGGAAAAGAGACATAAAATCTAAACAAATTGGTTGTCTAAAGTAAAATTACAAAATATAAACATTAATTAAAATTAACAAGTAAAATTGAAGTTTTAGTAAATTTATAATGCATATACAATTATATTTCATCCATCTACGTTATCTTTCACTTTAGGAAAAAAATATTAATTATTCAATTAACAACTTTATGTTAATTTAATTTTTCAAATCAAATCATTTATTATTTTGTTTTGAATGAGATCAATAATAAAGAGGTGTAAGAAAAGAAATGCAAAGAAAAAAAAAGTAGAATCAGATAAAATTGATCTCCCTTCATGTTTGTTGTGTAAAATGGGGATTAAATCTGTTTAAATAACATAAATAACTCATATAAAGAATGATATTTGATATAAAAAAAGGTATATTTTTTAGGAAAATAATATTTATCCATATATAAATTAGAATAATGTGTGTAAACTCATAAATATTTTAAAACTATTTCTTTTAACTTGTCTACTTAACTCAAAAGGGCATGGCTTCTTGAGTTTCAAGGTAGGGTTTTTCAATTTTTTCTAGTTCTACAGCTTTAGCTTTGAGAGCATTTTTTTTAACTTCTCTTGCTCAAGACTAAGTTCCAAGTTTGTTATTAGTTTTATTATTTTTAAAAAAAAATATTTAATTGTTTGAGCTTGAGAGTTCTATCATACATTCTATTGTCTAAGAAAGTTGTTTTGTCACACAGATAGTTAGGTGCATTATAAAATTTATAATATTATTTTTTTCATGATTAAAGTATTAAGTAAATAGTTCTTTATCAAACAACTTGAGAGGGAGAGGCAAAGATAAAGTCTTGTTTGCAATTGTTAGAAGAGTGAAAAAATTATGTTTATGCCTTTAAGGAAGATAGTTGTTAGGGAGCTCACCCACAGGAATGAAGGATCAACCATAGTCAAAGGAAGGGAGAGTCACCCTAAAAATCAAGTGACCTAACCATCATTATTTAGGCCCTATTAGGGATTTTTTTAAAGTAGTTTACTATTTACGCCCTTGTTTGCATACCTCTAGGAATGCGGGGTGTGGTTCATTCAGTGATGTCAAGTTTGGAGCACGTGAATGTGTACGAGTAGTATTTGGGATGCTTTTGTTGGCTGACTCCATGCTTGTGCATCGAATGGTTGACATGTATCCCTTTTCATATTTTCCTCTGGCCTTCATGGCTTTGCAGATATGCTCGGATCCTGTGTTGCCTATCTATTAAATATATTCATTTGATTTAGAGGGCTTATTTCACCCACACCTATTCTTGGGTTTGTTGGGGATTTGAAAGTAGTGCACTTGATGCATGTTATGTATGTACAATAATGTTCCTGTTCCTAAACTTGGTAAAAATTAATTGCATTTACATGAATATTTTAATCGACAAATGATGAAAATGGTATATGATCCTCTATGAATATGCCTAACCTTGATGTCGAAAAATTGAAATTCTTGTTATTACATGCATTTGGTATTGATTGTAAGAAAATATAGGGTATTAAAACCTTATATATTTATCCATGCCCCTTACTTCAGTAAAATTTGGTTGCATTTAAATAATGAATTTTTTAGTCGACAAATGATGAAAAAGTATATGATTCTTTTATGCTTGACCTTGATGTTGACACCCAGATATGGTTGTGATTCGATGTATTTGGTATTCATGGTGGGAAAATTTAGGGTATTAAAACCCTATATATTTTACTTTGTCCCTGAACTCGATAAAAGTTGGCTACATTTTCATGATGAGTGTTTTAATTGGCAAATGATGAATATGGTATATGATCCTTCTATGATTATGCCTGAACATGATGTCAAAAGGTAGAAAGTCATTATTTGTTGCATTTTTTTATTCATCATGAGAAAAATATAGGGTAAGAAAGCCTTATATATGTCCCATAGATTTTCATGCCTAGCGATGCCAAACTTGAAATCACTTGATGTTCCATTTGCTTGCATACCTGTGGGAATGCGGGGTGTGGTTCGTTTGGTGGTGTCGAGTTTGGCGCACGTGAGGGTGTATGAGTGGTATTTGGGATGCTTTTGTTGGCTGGCTCCATGCTTGTGCATCGAACGGTTGACATGTATCCTTTTTCATATTTTCCTCTGGCCATTATGGCTTTGGGGACATGCTCGGTTCCTGTGTTGCCTATCTAGTAAATGATATTCATTTGATTTAGAGGGCTTATTTTACCCACACCTATTCTTGGGTTTGTTGGGTATTTGAAAGTAGTGCACTTGATGCATGCTACGTATGTACAATAATGTTCCTGTCCCTAAACCTGGTAAAAATGAAATGCATTTACAAGATAAATATTTTATCAACAAAAGATGAAAATGGTATATGATCCTTTATGAACATGCCTAACCCTTATGTTGTAAAATTGAGACCCTTGTTATTACATGCATTTGGTATTGATCGTAAGAAAATATAGGATGTTAAAACCTTATATATTTGTCCATGTCCCTTACATCAGTAAAAATCGGTTGCAATTAAATAATGAATCTTTCAGTCGACAAATGATGAAAAAGGAATATGATCTTTTTATACTTGACCTTGATGTTGACAAATAGAGATGGTTATGATTTGCTGTATTTGGTATTCATGATGGGAAAATATAGGGTATTAAAACCTTATATATTTGATTTTGTCCCTGAACTCGATAAAAGTCGGCAACATTTTCATGATGAGTGTTTTAATTGGCAAATGATGAATATGACATATGATCCTTTTATGATTATGCCTGAACCTAATGTCAAAAAGTAGAAAGTCATTATTCATTACATTTTTTTATTCATCATGAGAAAAATATAGGGTAAGAAAGCCTTATATATGTCCCCTAGATTTTCATGCCTAGCAATGTCAGACTTGGTATCACCTAATGTTCCATTTGCTTGCATACCTTTGGGGATGCGGGGTGTGGTTCATTTGGTGGTGTCGAGTTTGACGCACGTGAGGGTGTATGAGTGGTATTTGGGATGCTTTTGTTGGCTGGCTCCATGCTTGTGCATCGAACGGTTGACATGACATGTATCCCTTTTCATAGTTTCCTCTGGTCATTATGGCTTTGGGGGCATGTTCAATTCTTGTGTTGCATATCTATTAAATGATATTCATTTGATTTAGAGGGCTTATTTCACATACACCTATTCTTGGGTTTGTTGGGGATTTGAAAGTAGTGCACTTGATGCATGCTACGTTTGTACAATAATGTTCCTGTCCCTAAACTTGGTAAAAATGAAATGCATTTACAAGATAAAAAATTCTTATATATGTCCCCTAGATTTTCATGCCTAGCAATGTTAGACTTGGCATCACTTAATGTTTCATTTGCTTGCAAACCTTTGAGAATGCAGGGTGTGGTTCGTTCGGTGGTGTCGAGTTTGGCGCACGTGAGGGCGTATGAGTGGTATTTGGGTTGCTTTTGTTGGCTGGCTCCATGCTTTTTGCATCAAACGGTTAACATGTATCTCTTTTCATATTATCCTTTGACCTTTATAAATTTGGGGATATGCTTGGTTCCTGTGTTGTCTATCTATTAAATGATATTCGTTTGATTTATAAGGTTTATTTCTCTCATAGTTATTCTCAGGTTTCTTGGGGATTTCAAAGTGGTGCACTTGATACATGCTACGTATGTACAGTAATGTTCGTGTCCCTAAACTTTATAAAAATAGATTGCATTTAAAAGTTGTATATTTTAATCTAGAAATGATGAAAAGTCTATGTGATCCTTTTATTAATATGCTTAACCCCAATGTCTTTGTGTGTATGTGTTTGTGCTTGTGTGTGTTTTTATTTGTGTCTGTGTGTGTTGTCTATGTTTAGTTTAGATGTGTGGTTGTCCTTGTGTGTGTTTGTGGGTGTGTGTCTCTATGCATGTTAGTGTTTATGAATGTTGTTGTGTTTCTATGACTACATGTTTGTGTGTATGTGTGCCTTAGTGTGTGTTTGTGTGTCTCTGTATCTTTGTGTGTCTATATGTGTGCATGTTTATCTTTGTGTATCTTTGTGCGTGTTTTTTTTTTGTCTAAGTGTGTGTGTCTAGGTGTCTTTGTGTGGCTGTGTGTATTTGTGTGTCTACTTGTGAGTTTGTGTGTCTTTGGGTTTTTTGTGTATGTGTGTTTCTGTATGTGTCTATGGGTTTCTGTGTGTGTGTGTGTTTGTGTGTGTCTTTCGATTTGTGTGTGTACGTGTCTGTATGTGTTTGTGTTTGTTCTTGTGTGTTTCTGTCTATCTATTTATGTGTGTCTATTTTTGTGCATGTGTATGTGTGTTTGTGTGTGTTTGTCTGTGAGTGTGTGCTTGTAGGTGTGTGAGACTATATTTGTCTATTTGCCTCTGTGTCTTTGTGCTTGTGTGTGACTATGTGTCTTTATGTGTTTGTGTGGTTGTGTATGTTTGTGTCTATCACTATGTGTCTGTGTTGATGTCTGTGTTTGTGTTTGTGTGGCTATTCGTGTATGCGTCTATCTACGTTTGTGTGCGTGTGTTCTTATGTTTTTGTGCTCGTGTTTATGCATGTGTTTTTGTGTGTTTGTGTTTATGTGTTTCTCTATTTTTATGTGTGTTTATATTTGTGTATTCATGTGTTTGTCTGTGGTTGTGTATGATGAGTGTTTGTGTGTGTATGTGTCTTAATGTGTGTGTTAGTCTCTTTATGTATGTATTTGTGCATGTGTATATATATATCTATCTTGGTGTGAGTGCACCTCTGTGTGCTTGTATGCCTTTGTGTCTGTGTTTTTCTATTTGCGTGTGTCAATGAGTCTCTGTGTGTGTGTGTTTGTGTTCCTTTGTCTTTGTCTTTGTGTGTGAGAATGTAAGTTTGGATGTGTGTGCCCTTGTGTTTGTG